ACATGTTAGAGGCAGGTTTTTGCTAGATTGACACAAAACAGGGCCATTAATATAAAATGAAAAAAGTAACCAATCGGCATTAAGAAAACTTTGTTATTTTAGCAAGTTCACCCTGTGTCAACTGACTTTTATCAATAATTTTGAAAATGGCGCTGCAAACTGTAAGTAAATAACAAATTTTTGTAAAATATAATTTATTAACGTAAATAATTTAATTTGTATAGGAAGTGATAAGAATTCGTGAAGTTAATTGCGATATCTCGAAAAAAAGTCCTCCTCTTTCATTTGAAAAGGATCTTGGCGGTCCTTGTATGTTTTCCTATTTCTGGTTTCGATTGTATCATCCAAAATCACAAAATCTCGAAATATCCTTTGAAAGGGAAGCATATTCTTCAAATTAAGACCACTTTTGTATTTTCTCTGCAAATTTTTACAGGAAAACGTCTACTTAGAGTACGCTTTTAAGATTTTGAAACCTCGTCAACCTCATTTTAAATTTAAAACGCCGTTTTAAAGTTAAAAGGTATTTTAAGTTGACTATGACAGTGTTAAAAGAGTGTTTATCTTAACATACAGTTTTAAATGTTAAATCCTGCCTCTAACTTGTCTATAACTACGGGCCATTATGTTTATTAGTAATGAGAGCCGGAGTACAAGAAATTTTGTTACGCTCTTCTTCCATATGTTGATAAGGACGGCAGGTACGGAAGGGCGGTCCGTCGGTGGCGGGTTGAGCTATCAAGCTCAAAATAAAATAAATATAAAAAATATAAAAGGTGTTCAGTTACTAAATTTATTTAAATTATATTTTTTGCCGCTGAAAACAACCGTGTTAAATAAATTTCCATTCTATTTTATTAACTTGGCAATTTTTTAAATTATTTTTTGGGTGCAGAACTGTTCCTAGAGCATCTAGAACAAATCAAAAAGGATATATTAAAAAAAAAAAACTCGCCTACGTTTTTTTGACGGTTAGGGCTCGATATGTAAATAAATTAATAAAAGTTGTTTTTTATTGGGAGCAGGAGTGGAGCAAGAGCGGAGCTCGGAGCGAAGTAATTTTCAACAAATTTCTTTTCCGTGCCAAAGTTATTAAGTGCACCGAGTTTGGTGGAAATTGATTATTGATTACCGAGATACACATTTGTGGTCATAAGTGGGCGGCGCCACGCCCATTATCCAAAATTTTATACTAGTCTAATTTTTTGCTCAGTGGTCATTGCAATAATTGATTATGAGTGAATTACGTGCAGTAGTTACTGATTTAACGCAGTTTTCGTGTTTCTGTAATCTTTAGAAATTAAAAAATTTTAGTTGAAAAAAAGAAGTTCACGCAAAGGATTTCACAAAAATATATTGAAATAATACTATTTTTGAAAAGTACCATTTTGGCACTTTGTGCTAAATTGAAAAATTAAGTGCCATTTGATGTAAAATAGGGCCAAAAATGGCACAGTTTGAGCCAAGTTGGTAAGGATTGGTGAAGCGGCTACTGACATACAGCATTTCATCATAAGTGGGCGGGGTCACGCCCATTTTTCAAAAACTTCATAATAATCTTATTTTTACCTCAATTCTACTTCACATACTAATTTTCAACAATTTGCATCCAATATTAACTGAAATATCGCAGTTCTTGCATTTTTCGAAAACACCGTTATATGGGAAGTGGGCGTGGTTACAGTCCGATTTCGCCCATTTAATAGCAACCTACCTTGGATAAAGGGCAATCAACATACCAAATTTCGTTGAGATATCTCAATTTTTTCTCGATTTATCGGAGGACGGACAGACAAACATGGCTTAATCGACTTCTCTTTTCATTCTGATCATTTATGTATACATTTGCCCATATCTATCTCGATTCGTTTTCGCTGTTACAAACAACCGTTATGCGAACAAAGTTAATATACCCGTGTCCACAAGTGCGTTCGGGTATAAAAATATTTCAAAATAAAAATATCTATGAACATTTTTCTTTAGGGAGCTATGGAGCAAATGAATTTTTTTAGCGCTTTATTCCTGCTCCGCTCCAGCTAAAACCCTTTGCTCCTGGTTAAGAGCGCAGTTTTCGGATGTGCCGCAAATTGGTAATGGCCCAGTTTCAAGTTCGCACCGATGTATTTTAATTAGAAAAAAAGTACACAAGAAAGTTTGTATGAGCAAATGGAATTTAAATGGTTTTATTGCTGAATATATTAATATGTACAATTGTATTTCAGGTTACCTTATATATATATATGTAGCTGGATGAGGCGATGAAAATTGGTGGCTGCAAGACGTCTACTCAAATGGATATTCGGTAAGCAATTGCTCCTTTGCTCCGCTCCGAAGCCCTGCTTAAAATGCTTATTAAATTCTATTTGTAATGCTAAACTGAGAAAAAATTCAACTAAAAATTGGTTAATATTACCAAATTCAAACTTGAAAAGGAATCAATGTGATTTTTGGTTAATGTTAACAAAGCCATGGCTGATATTTTTAACAATGAGTTTTAGTTAGTTATAGACATGTTAGAGGCAGGTTTTTGCTAGATTGACACAAAACAGGGCCATTAATATAAAATGAAAAAAGTAACCAATCGGCATTAAGAAAACTTTGTTATTTTAGCAAGTTCACCCTGTGTCAACTGACTTTTATCAATAATTTTGAAAATGGCGCTGCAAACTGTAAGTAAATAACAAATTTTTGTAAAATATAATTTATTAACGTAAATAATTTAATTTGTATAGGAAGTGATAAGAATTCGTGAAGTTAATTGCGATATCTCGAAAAAAAGTCCTCCTCTTTCATTTGAAAAGGATCTTGGCGGTCCTTGTATGTTTTCCTATTTCTGGTTTCGATTGTATCATCCAAAATCACAAAATCTCGAAATATCCTTTGAAAGGGAAGCATATTCTTCAAATTAAGACCACTTTTGTATTTTCTCTGCAAATTTTTACAGGAAAACGTCTACTTAGAGTACGCTTTTAAGATTTT